CCAGAAAAGTAAGCAGTCGTGTTATCTGCGTTAGTATCACATTTTGCTCCGATACGATAATATGATCATCTTGAGACTCGAGATCTTTCTTCGCTGCCAGAAAACCATTTGATTGATGATGAAATTGCTGAAAAGAGTTTTTTCTTTTATTCATGGCAGATGTAAAGATAATGACAAGCCTCTTGAGCGTATTTTCCAGATATCGAATGAAAGCAGAAGGTTTGGGTGTCAGCTTCACTCCTTGGAATGTGAGTTTGAGGGAAGCTATAAAAAGCTTGAAGGAGAGAGGTTTCTTAAGCATCTGAATTCTCATTGTAATGTCCATCTTGTTTTTTGGAACATGTTATTTTCTAGTATGCACTTAAAATAAGACATTATATGATTACTTGCACTGGTTTTCCCTGCTTGTATAAACATGATGATGGCCACAACTCAACTGCAATTCATTACAATGAAAGTGAAAGTTCTTTTAAGGGTAGGAGATGATTATAAGTAATATATGTTCATAATTATTTTTAATTATTGATAACGTATATATTTAGTAGATACAGTTGTTTAAGCTCAAAATCGTAAGAATAAACACCTTTTATGTCTGTTTAAGCTTAATACTTCAAAAAAAAAAACACTTTTTTTAATTATTGAGACCGCTCAAGGCAGTTCAATGTGTTCCATTACAATGAGTTTGTATGTAGAGAATTCTTGAAGCAGCTTGAAAAGTTTAAATAATAATTTGAAAATAAGAAAGTGGTAGCAGCCTGTAGAAATTTCATGAGGATAATGGACAGACATGTGTCAAAAAGAACATGGCAGCAATAAGCTGCTAGAGGCTTTGTTTAAGTCGGTTATTCACCCTACTTAGACTTTGGTTTCTGTACAACTAAATCAATTAATGATAATGATATCAACACAATTAATGGAAAAACACAAAACATATAGTCATTCAAGCAATTTTTCTTTATATTTTAGCTATTGAACCATTAATTTTGTTAATAAATATAAGCATATTGGTATTAGAGTACATAATTAAGTATATCAAATTCAAACAACAATAAATAATTTAAACTCGAGTTGATAATTTTCGAATCTCTAGATCTTATTTTAGATTTATGAAATGAAAAAGATGAATTAAAATTTAAATTTTGAGTTGAATAAGAAAGTAATTAAAGCAATGCTTCTATGAGTCCTACGCCTACGCCGGCGCGGCGGCTGAATAGAGACGAATGCAGCAGAGAAGGTAGCGTGCGTAACCGGAGCGTCTGGTTGTATAGCTTTATGGCTCCTTAAGCTATTGCTACCAAGGGCTACACTGTTAGAGCCACTGTCCGTGATCCACGTTTGTTTTCTTTTTTCTTTTTAATGCTTCATCGTGTTCGGAACATGTATTTAGTACTCTATATGTTATTAATGTAAGGTTTACTTTATAAAAGTGAATAATCATATTGTCTTCATCCCTGGGAAAAGACTGATGATTAATGTAATCGCTATTTACCTTGAAATAAAACTTGGGTCATTCTGATATCGCAACAGTACCTTTGATTATCTATTCCGAAGGAATGAACTCGTTTTCTCGAAATACCTAACAGTTCAACTATGACTGTGGAAGGAGTTAGCAGACAATTTACTACAATATTTACATGCATGTACTGTGCATTGTTAGCAGCAACAGCAGCATTTTTAGAGGACAGTACTATGGACTATGGAGTGGCGAAGTCATCTTCTTCCTCGGAATGCCGATGTCGTTGATGCCAAGAGGGAACCGTTGTCATTTTCTGAAGATGCCAAGAGATCCCCAACCGACCCGAGCTCTGGACACTCCTCCCAATCGCTCAAACCAGTTGTCAAGGGACAATTCCGTCTCCATCTCTTACCTACTATCAACATGATGCATTTCACCCAATATCTCTCTAGAGCCGCGACCATTTCGACTCCATTGCTCACTTGCTTCTCAATCAAACTGGCTTTAATCCGGAGCGACATACCTGTTATAAAATGTGTCCACAAAGGCATTGTCTATCTCGTGCTCTTCCCCGGCACTCGATATGCCATGATCGTCTCCTCATCTTGTGCGAAGCATTGTTAATCCACGAGTTTTGTATACTTTAATTGGTTTGTATGAAGTGGAACACCGTCAATTAACTTGACTGTGCATCAAACATTCTCTTGCTACAGCTAAGGCCTCACGATCACCGGGGCCGCTGAAGAAGAATGTTGCACATTTTACACGGAGGGAGCACCGTGCGGTTGTTGGAACCTGGTATGTCCACGGTCTACAAAGATACAACTGAACATGGGGCATCCCTGATAACCTTGTGGTTATAGCCTTATTTCCTCCATGTGTTTTTCCATTTTTCCCATCAATTCTTTGGTGCTTTATGGAACGGAAGGAATGATAGACACGCGCATGTCCTTAGCACCCTCGCATACAGCTTGATCTATGGTAGAAAGGTGTACATCTTAGATTGGTGGACCGAGATTTTGGTCTCTGAAATGAAGGAGTCGAGGGCGTCACTGATCTCGACGATATCGTTTCCACCGTACTCTTCTTCGTCGTAGAATTGATCATCTTCCAGTTGATGGTACATCAATTTGCTCTTCCTCTTCTTCGGAAGCTCCACCAGATGCACCATGTAAGGCTTGATAGGTGCATTTTGACAGCCACTCGACGCCGAGAAGAGGCTGACATGCCCCGAACATGGCGGGGATGTACACGCATGCCATCAGCAGGAGCTCGCTCTCCGGATTAAGTATTTCGAGTGTGGTAGGGTAATGAGCAAAACAGCTCTGTTCAAAAAATGGCAACCAGCGGCGCAACGATCAACTTCTTGAGAATCACTACGCTCACGAGCAGATTGTGAATATCTTCTTCCCACAGCTTCTGTAGCAATCAAAAGCATACTATGAGCAGCATTTATATTGACGATCATAGAGTGACATAGTGAATTAGGAACTTTACACCGGTAACGGGAGGAGTATTGATGTTATAAGGTCGTAATTGCCTTCATGTTGAGTAATAACGAAAGGATGAGACTCGCTCCTTGGCATCTTCAGGTAACAACAAGCGGCGAGCATACGGACGGTTCTTGTGCCGGCACCGAGGAGGAGGATGATGACAATGAGAAGAATCGTCATTTTGTTAAAGAGATTGGTTATATCGAACTGGAATCCGGCGTAGCCGAAGTAGACAGGGAGTATGAAGGTATTCACTGCATAAGTGAGTTTATGGAGGAATGTCCGAAAGGTTTTGCATTCCTGGGGAACATGAGAGCTACCAGGAAACAACATGTTATAGATATGTAGCCATTGCTTTCCAAAATCACAGACACACTCGTAAGAAGAACATGATAATGAAGATTTCACTGTTGGTGACAAATCTATTGTGCCGATTCCTTATGTTGAAAAACAATGATAGATATTTGTTGAGAAAGACAGCGGTGACCATAAAAAAATGGCGAGGATTGCACCAAGAATTTTGCATTGGTTGTGAAGGACGTCAGTGAGAAACAATCACGACGCAAGACATTTCATTGAAGGGAAGTATAGATCGCCAGTCGCCTAAATCGGCGGTGTCAGACTTGGTTTCCGCAATCATCCTAAGGACTACCGGAGAGGCCGAATTTGCCAGACGGTGAAAATAAGAAGGTAGAAAGTGATGCCGTAATCGGACACATTGAACACCTTGGTGAGCAACCACAAGAGAGGTCCGGCAAAGATGCAGGCCAAGATCGAACCCCCTCCAGCAATGATACTCATGACATGAATGTTACGCTTTACATAAGGAATATCGGTCTCCAAGCCGATGGAGAACACGAACAGCATTCGACATAAGAAAGAGAACATATAGTATTCTGCATAGGAAGCCTGGATAAAGAAATCCTTCTCTTTGTTTATGCGGTATAACAATGTCGGACCGACCACAACACCAGCCTGTTCGAACAGAACATCATTTACACATACATGTATGCATGTATATATACATATATATATATATATATATAGATGTTTGGAAAAATAGTGAAGATGAAAGGCTCACAAGTAGTTGTGCAAATGGACCAGGTTGTCCCAAGGGTCTCAAGAGAATGTGAAAGATATGAGAAGTGACGAGAATACAGGAGACCTGAAAGCTGCTAGTGATCCAGGGATTAAATGAGTCACCTGTTCGGCACATTAAATTTTCTGTTCCTCCATTTTTGGTTTACAGGAACCACAGCGGATGCTCTAACAAGTCCAAAAGTGAGGTTTCCAGGAACAGCAAGAAAACAAAGAAAGAAAACTCAAACCTCCTTCCCTTTCCCAACCCTCTGCTTCCTGATCCGGAAGATTTGGTCATATAAAACCGGAGGGATGTTTACCTTTCCTTTTATGTGCCGGCTACGCAAAACAATTAGTATCAAAACACCTCCAACTCATCCTTCTTTTTATAAAAGAACAAATTATGCCATAATGCGAGTATAAATATGAAATAAAATTATAAAAATAATGTAAATAGTCTAACTTTAGAAAACAAAATCTATAATGTGTGACTGAATATACTTAATATCCTCTAATTTAAAGTAAAAATTATATATATATTAATATGTCAGCAATAATTTAGTAAATTTGATGTATAAATGTTAAACATATAAAAATCTAACACAAAAATCAAAATACAATTTTTTACTTTCTTTTTGTCCAACCATGCTCTCAGGTCCTGTGATTTTTGCATATTTGAAATTTAATTCCCATTTTTAATCTCAATAATTTAATCCTTTTATTGTTTTGACTTAGTAATTGAAGTCCAATTAATTGCATCGTCAAAGATTTTCGTTAAATTAGAGTATATATCATTTTTAAAATTAAAAAAAAAAGCTCACTGTACATATCTTGGCTTAGTTTAGACAAAGTACAGAATCTAAGATTGCAAGGCAGCTAACAAATTTAAAACTACACAAACCCGAATCATGTACACATTAAAGAACAGATTTTCTACACTACCTAACCTTTAAGTTAACCCACAGTAATAGTTGCATCTGTACGCCTAGAACCAGTCGATTTAAAAACTACAGGAACTTGAATCATGTATACATTATAAAACAGTGTTCTGTTATACCTTGAAATTAACGAACAAATAAACATTATAAAACAGAGTTCTGTTCTACCTTGAAATTAACGAACAATAACAGTTCCAAGTGAAAGCAAATTAGCAAATCACATGCCAAGATTTCGTCTTGTCGCTTCCATTTTCAACAAAAGATCTTTAATATCTGCTTCCATTCTTGTCTTCATACTGTAGTATTCCCTGTAAGCTCCTTCTAGAGCTTGGAATTCTTCGGTCTTTTGTTTATGCGTTTCTTCAGCCTCAGCTAAGCGTAGTTTCGCAAGTCTGCTCCTGTACTCTTCTTCAATCTTTTCATCCTTTACTATTGCAATTCGTTTCAGGCCTTCCGCTTCTCTTCTTGCATCGTCAGCACGTGTCTGGTACATTTTGGTTTCCTCCTGTTTGATTCTTATGAAGCTCTCCAGTTCAGGCAAAAATAGTTGCCTTTCAGCACTCCTCTGCAACTCTGACTCTAAAGAACATTTGTCAGGTCGGTCAACACGGAAACTAGGAAGCAGGCTAGATGTGCTTTCAAATGCACGAGCTTTATCAGAATAAACAGATTTGTGATGTCTAGCATCCTGACTTCTCCCAGCTATCCCATTGATTCCTTTGTCCTGTGCTTTTCCAGACAAAACAGTTGCATTGCCAGGCTTGAAAGAATTACTATCTGCAACCAGAACTAAAGGTATTAATTTCTGATTCAATGACATTTGGTCTCATGATAGTTCAGTTCCAGTGCAGTAATCAGAGCGACATCTAAATGATTTATACCTGGTTTCTAGATAAAAGTTGCTAACAAATGCCTTACGGAGCTAGTTCTAGTAATTTTCTAGCATTGCAATAACAAAAAAAATTAACAATGATATTAATCATAACAACATCAAATGTGCTAATACAATCAACATAATGTTAACATCGAACTAGTTTGGGGGCACCCAAAACAGAAAAAACCTTTAACATATCAAATAGTCATAAGGACAGTTCACAGAAACAAGTTCTCACAAGGATCACAGCTTTCCGTCAACCACCAACATCTTGGGAAGTTCAGATCAATCCATACGATCCAAGAAAATAGTATAAATTTCTTAAGAGCAAATTTTATTTAACAAGCATAGGTTAGTTATGGAGAAAAGAGTGACTGCGTCAGGAAGTTCATTATTTGAGCATAAACATTTTATAAATTCCTCAGAAATTCAAAATAAATACTTACCAGTCAGGAAGTTCATTATTTGAGCATAAGCCTCGGGAAGATCGAACTTATTCCCCAATTTAACCAGCATTTGATCAGCAAGTTCATGCAGCCGTTTCCCTCTCACGTCTTTGCTGCCACAAAAGATCCTCTTGACATATTCAAGTTCCTTTGAAAAGGTTTCAAGCGTCCAATCTTTTGCAAAATTCTGAAAAACCTCCTTTACAAAACCAAACATTTCAGAAGGATGGTCACAGGCAACGCAATGAAACTGCATCTCAGCTGGGTCATGTGCATTTCTAATATAAGATTCCCTTAAACCACAATCCGCATGGCACCAATGAAGACACCATCACAACCAACCCAACAACAAGTATTGGATGCCATATCAAATTTTGAACATACAAGACACATACAAGCGCTGCAAAAACCATTCTTCTTCGAGCAAACCATGCAATCACATTCATCCACAGGCAGAGAACTCCGGCACATAAGATTACTGCATCTTAAGTTCAGAAAGATCTCAGCCAAATCAGAAGATGGAACACTGTTGCCTACCTGAAGATACTCAGGTAGTCCAGTTTTCAGGGCAACCAAGATTTCCAATTGAGCCCGATGGCATTTTAGCAGCATTTCCAGTTTTAAATCAGACCGGCTCCGTAGGGCCTCCTTAAATGCACATAGCTCCCCATGCTTATCTGCATTTAACATAATCTCGCGAATGCTCTCTTTTAGACAGGCAATTGATTGTCCTGCCATTTCATGACACTTCCTGGCCATAACATGGAGAGGCTCAAAAACCATCCTGCTTAATATAGTCTCAACAAAATCAGCTCCACCTATCAGAAGTTGTTCTTGCTCTTTTTGGCTACTGCTCCTGTATAAGCTACCAGTACCACCATGCTTTTCTCTTGTGGCTTGCTTCTTGTCAGAGCTGTAAAATGAACCATTTTGGTGAGACCTAACACACTGTGAAGTGGACCTGACATCATTCTGTTTATGAAAACTCAACTGCCTCTCAAGTCCATTCTGAGCGATTGAGCTTCCTTCAAAACTGTGAATATTATGTGCTTGAACAACCTGACTGCTTGTAATGCCCTGTAATGCTGAAGATTGACTGAAAGACCCATTACCATTCCTCAAAATCCTCTGAAACATAGGACCATCTTTCTGCCGGGACTCATTCTGAGATTGCCATGATCCTTGAGAAAGTTGATCAACTCCCTGAACTATGGGGCGACTATGAACAGATTGTTCATTGTTATCCATGGAATTTGAGTCAAAGAACAACTTGGATTGTGGTAAAAGGACAGGGAATCTGAAAAGGACATGGATGCAGCAAACCCATCAGAGTTGGTGCGAAATGTGTTCATCAAGGACTGCACACTCCTCCCGTGGCTAGGAGAGCCAGGAGCTGAATCTGTATGTCGAGCACCGATAGGCAACAACACATTTGGTAAACTAAGAGAAAGGTCAAGTGATTCCAATTCCAGCTTCTCTTCTTTCTGCTTCTCGGCACTTGATTGTTCTTCCTTTTCCACTTTCCTGACAGGAGAGCAAGAAAACAACTCAAAACCCTTCGTACTAGGCCCTTCCATGTCAAGATCTTTATCTTTAGATTCCCTTTCTGTCCAAACCCCATTCACTACGGAATCAGTTACATTAACCGACTCAACAGCAACCCCTTTCCCTTTATCCTTGACATTCCAACTCAAACCAATCTCTATAACATCGATATTTATTTTATGTTCGCTATTTTCCTCTGCAACTACCTTAGTAAAATTTGCTGCCTCACATTCCTCATCCAGTCTCTCAAGATCAATCCCTTTATCCCCCTTACACTTCTCTTCCAGACAGGAAGACTTCTGCTCAACTGCATCTTTGGTAATATCTCCCTCACATTTACCATCAGCCTTCACACCTTCTTCCTGCATTTCAACTTCATCACCACCCATATCATCCATCTTATCACAATTACCACTGGTACCATCATTTAAACACTTTCCACAATCTTGCAACTTGTCATCTACCTTCCCCTCACCTTTTCTTTCATTTCCCCTCTCCTTATTAACATCCTCCACAACCTCCACATTTGAGTTCATCTCACCTCCATCATTCTCTGTTTTTTTATGACAACCCTCTTTCCCATCACGTCTAGCCCCAGATTCAGTAGCCAATTCATGTTGAGGCTCGGTAGCTAATTCATGCTTAGGCTTAGCCTGAGGTTCAGTAGCTAACTCATAACGAGGCTTAGCCAGATGTTCAGGCTTAGCCTGAGGTTTGGTAGCTAATTCATGCTGAGGCTTAGCCTGAGGTTCAGTAGCTAATTCATGCCGAGGCTTAGCTTGAGATTCGGTAGCTAATTCATGCCGAAGCTTAGCCTGAGGTTCGGTTGCTAATTCATCCCGAGGCTTAGCCTGAGGTTCGGTAGTTAATTCATCCCGAGGCTTAGTCTGAGGTTTGGTAGCTAATTCATGTCGAGGCTTGGCCTGAGGTTCAATAGCTAATTCATGTTTAGGCTTAGCATGAGGTTTGGTAGCTAATTCATGTTTAGGCTTAACCTGAGGTTCGGTAGCTAATTCATGTTGATGCTTAGCTTGAGGTTCAGGATCAAACTCACCTTCCTCCATCTCACTACTTGTATCACTCTCAACCAGGGTCTCCTCACTCTTCTTCACCTCTCCACCACCACCATCAACACTCTTAAACTGTTCACTGCCAGAATCCCTTGACCTTGTTGGCGACCTGGACTTTGACTTGGAGCTTCTCCTCCTCCTCATTCTTCCCTCTCCCTTGACTCGCCAACCACTCTCCCTGCTACCAAAGAATCCCTGGACCAGCTTGGCGATTTCACATCCCTAAGCTCCCTCCGTTGCACCTTACTACTAGTCCCTCTGTTCTCGTTAATTCCAAACCTTTGCCAGGAGGTCCCACTTTCACATCGGGTTCGATCTCTTTCTGATCGGAACCCCTTTGGAAAATCTCTGCGAGGCCCACGGAAGCTCTCTGATCTGTGGAGGCTACCACCACTACTACCACTCTCTCTGTAACGATTGAAGTCCAATTTCCGCCTATCAAGGCTCTCAAAATCATGCTCTGCTCGCTTCCGGACCATCCTCTCCCTGCCACTATCCTCATCAGCCACAGATTGGTCTCTATCATATCGAGAAGAAGAAATCAAATTGCTTTTAGCGCGGCCGTTGCTATCGGAGGCTGAAGATGGCTTGTGGTAAAAGCCGCAGCTACTGCTGCTTCGAGATGAACGATTTTGATCCTGACTCCATTCTTTGCTTGCATTTGTCTCATAGGAATCGAGATCGCCGCTCGATCTCAACCGCTTCATGTTTTTGTATGTATATAAAGAATAACTTTTACCCCTAAAATTAAAAGGGAAAAACAAGCTGATAACAGCGATACGACAGTTTATAGGTAGGATGGAAACCCTAATTTAGAATGAGGGGATAAATACTGAAGTTTTGGATGTGAATACCTGGAGGATTGCCAAAATTGACGTCGAATTCACCGAATCTCACGATGTTAGCAGGGAGAGAGCCGATGTTTCATTTTCTGGAAGAAAGTTTTATACAATAAGAAATAAATAAAAATGAAAAGGAAGCCACCAAATCCAAATGCCTCAAAATTTGGGTGAAGTTAAATTGAAATTCAAGGGAGAACTGTAAGTAAGGTTTTATATAAGAACCCTAATTTTTAAGATTGTCGAGCTAGAAAGAGGAGAGGAGAGCAGTAGGCATTGAAGAAGAACGTAGTTCATATTATATATTTTGATTTTAGAGGGGTATAATGGAGAATATTTGGTTTGGAGGGGCATAATTGAAAAAGGAATTTGGACGACAAAGAACAAATAAATTTTATCTCAGCCAAGTCAACTGCTACCTTCCACCTGACCTCTGACTTACACAGGTATGTTGTGCTTGCTTTGCTTCATTGCTTAAAATTCTCTTCTTTTCTCGATCTAACTATATTTTCGGTACTTCCATTCTTTGCTTGTTTAAACTTTAGTCCTTTTAACTCTGTATTCATCAATTTTATTCTTTTAGTCTTTTGATTAAAAATTAAAGTCTAATTTGGATTGTATGATATTTAAAAATATATAAATTTATTCACGTTATTGATTTTAAGTTGTATAAAATTAGGGTAATTAGTCAGAATTAAAACATTTAAATTATTATTATTTTTGAATAATTCCATTTCATTACCCAAGAAAAACAGAAACTTGCTACATAAACAATAATTTAACTCCTAATACAAACAACAAAAGAATCAACCATTACAAGTGAACCCCAACCTTAAGAAATACCCCATTTCATACAGGGGGAATCATTCCTCGGGTCAACTCTGTTGATAGTCCATCCTTTCAGTCGAATCTGAATAGTTTCTTTGATGTCCTTCAACACATATTTTATTGAAATTATGTTACTTTCAATGTTTTTTAGGTAAAATTTATTAAATTATTTTTTAGAGAACTTAGATATCATTTGACACTCAACTCATAGTTAAATTATATTTAAATTATTGCATAAAAACACATTTTATCATTTTATTTATTGAATTTATTTTTTATAATTAATTTACTAATATAAAAATATCATAATCATTTAATAATTAACTTAATAACATTTATAATATTTATATATTTCATTTACTTGATCTATAATTATTAAAAATACCATCAATGTTTCTATATTTTATTAATTAAATAATTAAACATGGAATATAATGACTACGAGGACAATTAGACTATAAATGATATAGTGGTAAGATGAATTATTCAGAACCAATAGATTTTGCTAATTTTTTAGGAGTTAAAATCTCAAAAATTTATTTTTTTATATTCTCAAAGAAAATATCAAGATTGGAACCCACATAAAATGAGATAATATAAATATTATTGACTACCCGATCAATTAACATATAATAAAGGTTACATTATTTATTAAACAATTATATCATTCTTATATTAGTAAATTAATGACACAGTGATTTAAATAATCAAACCCAATTAGTCAAGTAGTGAATAAATAATTTTTTATTTTAGTTACCAAATTTTAATTTAATTAATAGTCGAGTGGCTATGGGTATAGTTTACTCTTTTTAAATGTCTTCACACTCCCCCCCCCCCCCAGTTGAAACGGAGTATTTGGTTTGACTCTCATACTGACAATTGTCGTCTTTATAAATTTACATTGTCGGGTAGTCTTATCAACCAATCCTTAGCTTTTAAATACTGTTATTATTAGGGTTAATCAACATTTTAGTACCTGAACTTTTTTTAAGTTTCAGTTTGACACAAACTTTATTGTTTAATTAAGTATCTGAATTTGGCTTTTCCATTCAAATTAGTTTACAATTGTAAGAACCAATTTGAATGAAAAATCAAATCATATAAGCTAAAGTCTTATATCTAATTAGACCAAAAGATATTTAAATATCAAATTTAAATTTAAAATTAAAATCATATAACCAATCAATTCTAAAAATATATAAATATCGAATTAAACGTTGACACGAAGACCAAGACTAAAATATACATACTAATTCTATTAAATCGAGAAACAATGATCGTCTTTAGTCAATGACATATAGTAAACTAATAAAAAATAAAAATCCAGATAAAAAACCGATACTTTAACTTATTTTTTTATTATTAAATTAAAAATGGGTAATCTGGTAATTTTCTTTTATCGATTTCTTACAAAAGATTCCGACTCCAAAATCTAAGCTTTTCCCATGAAATGAAACCTATCTACGTCAACCCGAGTAGTTTGGTCAAACACAAACACTTGCCCCCAACCTCCATTCAATAATTTGGCTGTCACATCAATGCAGCTATCTCTTCATAGAACGAGCTGAGCCCGTCATGTGCTGTGTCAAAAGATGACAAAGCAATCCATGTTATGTTTTTTAAGTTGCGTTTAATTAAAAATATTATATTTTTATAATATTTTTAATTGCATCAATTTTTTTATTGTTTTTTAGACTTAAATTAAATTATTGTTCCGTGTATTTTCCCACGTTTCATAATGATTCATGAAGGTTGAAGATGGATACTGTCATACTGATGATCATGTGCTTTTAAAACCCATTTTTTATTATGATTCAATAACATTTTTCTGTTTTATCTTGGAATTAACCGACAACAACAGATCCAAGTGAAAGCCAATTAGCAAATCACATTCCATGGCTTCCATTGTCAACAAAAGATCTTTAATATCTGATTCCATTCTACTCTTCATATTGTAGTATTCCCTGTAAACTCTTTCTAGAGATTGGAATTCTTCAAACTTTTGTTTATGCGTTGCTTCAGCCTCAACCAAGCGTAGCTTCGCGACTCTACTCCTGTACTCTTCTTCAATCTTTTCGCCCTTTGCTATTGCAATTCGTTTCAGGCCTTCTGCTTCTCTTCTTGCATCATCAGCACGTGTCTGGTACATCTTGGCTTCCTCCTGTTTGATTCTTACGAAGCTCTCCAGTTCAGGTAAAAATAGTTGCTTTGGAGCACTCCTCTGCAGCTCTGGCTCTAAACAGCATTTGTCTGGCCGGTCGGTTAGGTCAACATGGACACTAGGAAGCAGGCTAGATGATCTTTCCAATTGAGGCTGCCATGTGCTGCTTTATGTGTCAAAAGACGGACGATTGTTGGATCTATCTCCATCTACTTGCCCAAACAAAACAGTAATTGTACCCACTTTCACCTTATTGGGTTTCCTTTTATATTTTAGTGACGTATTTCATTGTTCACCTAAAATATACTGGTAAATTTGTACATTAATTCATATAAAATTTAATTAAAAATATATATACACATGATCACTTATTATTGGAAAATAAATAAAAAAGTAATCACTTCTGAAAATGTGATATTTTAAAAGTTCATTGATTTTTCTTAAATAAGATACTTTTAACGCACTAACAATTTCATTATGAATTGGAAGGAAGCCAAGCACTATGTACCGCTGGATGCAGGGAAAGTAACAACCGACTTCCTTATCCATTAATTAGGAAAACATAATAATAATGAAAAGGTACCTTTGTCATTTTAAACAATACTCTTTTTCAAAATAGTCAAATATTCCAATGCTTTCAACAGGTAACAGAGAAGACGAATATCAAGATGGGTTAGGGAGATCAAAATATTCGAATTCGACGGGTCTCAATTAGATTTGACTTTATAGGGTGAGTTTTTTTTTTTTTAATTTTGAGATTTGGGGTGGAATGGGGTCGGATTTAAGGTGAAAAGTCATCGGTTAATTTATATTTTTTATATAAAATATATTTAAAATTTTAGGAATTTTAATTTTATATTATTAAAATATTTTCGGTAATTATTAAAAATATAAAAATTATTATAAAATATATCATTTTAAATGTTTAAAATATTATAAATATATTATTTTAATTATTTTAAAATATTAATATATTCGGATCGAGTCGAGATTTTAGTCTAGAAATTAAGACGGATTCAGGATGGGAAAAAACTAAAATTCATGGGGGCGGGGCCGAGTATAAGAAATATGTTTTTGGGTTGGGATTGGGGCGGCTAAAAACCCGACCCGCCCTGCCCCGTGCCCATCCAAAGTCTGGATGTGTGAAGTGCAAGTGAGAAAGTTAGGACTTCGAAAGAAAAACATATTAAAAAAAAGGAGTAAACTAAAATTTTGTCCCTAAACTACTTTTGGTTTATAAAAAAGTTTGTAATTGTCATTTTATTTAAAATTCAATGACTAAAATAAAAATTAAACCCTTTTATTAAATTTTAACGTCATCAAACTAACAATGTTCAACGTTTCTGTGACCAAACCTTAATAAAAAGATCAAAAAAATGACCATAACTTATGTATTCTGAATTTGATGAGCAAAGGTGTACAAATATAGAAAGTAAGTGACAAATCTTGTAGTTTACCCATAATTTCAAGGCTAAACTACATGTTTAGTACTTAAGCTATTTTTTTCTATTTTGGTATCTAAATTTTATCTTTTTCAAAATCATATCTAACATTTAGTTTAGATTTTAATTTAATATTAGCCATTAAAAAATAGAGCATTAAAGGTTAAAATACTCAAAAAAATAACAACCAAAGTGATATATAGTCAAACATAAGAGATATTTTTATCATTATCTATTAAAAAAAATAAAATCAACAAATATTAATCCGGTATGACCCTAAAAATTATTTATGAAACTTTTTTCTATTAAAGTAAAAAGAATTATTTTCCATAGAAAAAAAAGTAAAAAGAATTATTGAATGATATATAGTATAGAGTATTATAATAATATTTATGAACACTATCTCTGCAACTATAGAGCAAGTTAATTCGAACAGTTGAAGTTACCTGTAACTCTTCCATCATGAAATGTTTGCCCATAACAGATTATAAAGGCCAAGCCAACCTCAATCCCCCTACTCCCATCCCATCTCTACTTTCAGCCATGGAAGTAGCTTCATGCTCATCGGTGGAAACAACCACCACTTTCCACAGCCTTCCCCATCCAAAATCGGTTTCGTAAAGATTAAGCCGAGGCGATCCGGCAATTGATATGATTTGAATAGACCCTAGCTCATTTATGGTATCGAATATATTTTTCAGTTTATCTTCTGCTCCTTCAAAAACTGATTTCTCTGTTAATATCTTCACCGTATTGCTTACCTTCTCTACGGAAATGCAAACTCGTTTTCCATGAAATCTCTTGCCTTGTGTAAATCTAGTAGAACAGTATTACA